CAGAAAGTTATGGGGAATTTGAAAAGGTGTAAGATATATTCTAAAATCATAAGAGCAACAACAAGACATTAGGATCACGAATACAATAACGAAATCGACATGAAAAGGAAATAAACTTATCTGTAAAATTCAGAGACATGGTTATGAAGATGAAGCCATTGATGAACTCTAAGTTGTCTTCTCCTTCCAATACTCCAAAATATCCCACTATTGCAGACGAAGACATGGTTTTTTTCGATTCGGTTCGATCTTTTTATTTTTTTTCGATTCGGTTTGATCTTTTTATTTTTTTTCGATTCGGTTCTAAAATTTTATCCATCAAATTGCTAGCCCAGTCCCCTAATTCTAACACTCATAATCTTGCACAAGCAGAAAGTACGCCAACCATGGCATAGCAATCGGGTTTCAAATTCACCTTCAGGCAGTGGAGATATACATTCGCATCAAATTCGCCTTCGGTTTGGTTCGGTTTTTTTTTTCGACTTCAGTTCGATTTGGTTTTCGATTTTTTAAACCCACCCCTAATGAGAAGTATTCAAGTTTACGATACAATCAATAAAAATATGTATCAATGTATGTACAAGAACCCAAAAAGATGCACGAAATCCTCTATGCAATTTGCACCCATATCCCAGAACTCGGAACTCCATTGTGCACAACAAAGATCAAATAAAAACCCGGAGGAGCAATCTCCGCCGATGGCGGCGCGGCAACCTCCACCCGAAAAAATTCCGGTTCCACATTTTCCAACTTCTTTATGGCCAATACCAAAAGCCTTTGGCCCATGGAAAAACCATGGGTTGTGAAAGGTGGCGAGTACATGGTCACCTTCAAATTTGATTGGTCCACCTCAGCTTTCTTCAACCTGAACTCCACAACAATATATCCTCTGTATTTTACCATTTTGCCCTTGTAATCGGATGTTATCGTGGGTCGGTCCAAGATGAGTAAAGGGTCGAAGTATGGTGGGTAAAATTTCTCGACCCGAAGTTCTGTCGGATACTTTACGCCTGTGAAATTGTAGTAATAATTTGTGTTGCTCCCAGCCACTAATATTTTTCCATCTGGCAATACCATAGAGGTTGAACAATACATTCGCGGTATAGTTGTCGCCTTTAGCTCTGTGAACCGTTGGGTTGTTGGGTTGTCGGGTCTATAAAGTAATGGGGTCGGGTTCGGATCCTGTGCGAAGTTCCACCCGGCTATTCCCTTTTTGGCCCCATTGACTATAAGGATATCACCTGTGGGAAGGATCAGCAGATCTCCCATAGTCCTTGGTGTTGGCATCATCTCCTTCTGCCATGTGGATTTTGGGTCCGTTATGTCAATCCTTCCACAATCTTGCAATGCAGTTACGAAAATACCCTTCTCAACTAACTTTCCAGTTCTAGGATCCGCTCCACCACATATTATGATTTCGGCCCGGATTGCTTTCGGGTTCGGATCATCGAGATTTATGGGTAGCAATGCCGCCGTGCCGGATGCAGGGTAGTTTCGAGACCCACCGTCAAGGACAGGAAGCTCCCGGACAATCTTGTTGGTGGTCAGATTGAGTAGAATTGAACGCTTATTCGCAAATATTAGAATGTTGCCATCCGTGGAAAGGAAAACAAACGGGTAGAGATTATTCTCAAACGGGTCAGTGGTCTCTTGGAGAAATGGTAATGGAAAGTAAACATCATTAGAATCTCCCCCCTTAGGGATGTACTCGTAATTGAACATGCGCCGGCCTCCGACCAATATGAAATTGCCATTTGGCAATATATGTTGGGTAGAGAACCTATTTAAAATGTAAATACTTAAGATTATTATCATCAATATTCATTTTAACTTTACAATCAATAATTTACAGTTATTTATAAGCACATCAGATATAATTAACGAAAAACTAACAAATTAATATAACATACCATCTTGAGGTAGAAAGTGACATGGGGTGCTCCTCCCAGTCACAGGTATTGCATCCAGAGAGGTATCTCACAGACCTCCCTCCATCAGCCCATCCACCAGTTTGCACAAGAGTGCCATTAGCTGATAATCCACCAGATGAGCACCATGTGTCTGTCAAGATCTGATTTAAACTAACAAAGACAAAGTAAGTTACAGCAAAACAAATGGAAACATGCACAAATATTTGAACTCGTTAAATTTTTTTAACCAAAAATTGAATCGAGACACTAATACAAATAACAGTTAATTTAGTGTCTTTATATATTTTGTTTAGTGTTCCTCGTTCTTTTTTTTTTCGATTTAAAGTTCGTAACCAATTCTCAAAATATTATGTAGTTATGAAACCCTTAAAACTAGTTTATACATACCTTAAGCGGCCTAATAGCTGCAGTCTCAGTGTCAAATTCCACAGCATGAGCCCAGCAATCCACTTCATAGTATTCTCCTGTTTCATCCCTCTCATCGAAAACCTGACGACAGTCTCCAGGAGGCAATGAGATCTCCGATGGACCAAAACCGGCAGCGTCAAACATAATGGCCTTGTTACTATTAGGCATGATGGTCATGTGCATGGCCGATACACCTGAATTCTCAGAAACCAATTCCCACCCACCTCTATACTCTCCCTCATCATATTTGTTGGCCCCATTTTCTTCACCACCTCCATTGTATATAACTATGAGTGGGGTTTCAGGAACCCTAGAGTTTCCAAACACTTTAGGGTTTGTGAGATAGTAGGCGAAGAAGAAGAGGGAGAGAAGAGGGAGGGGTTTGAGAAAGATGGACATTATTTTACAGGGTGCGCAGAAAAAGGATCTTTGCAATGTTTTCTCTTATTTCTTGGTGCTCCTTTTATGCCTTCTAAAATTCTCCAGCTTTGAATGACTTTTTGGATGGTTGTGCCATCTCCAACTCACCTAATTAAGTACCAATTTTTTGGTACAGCTGAATTTCCCTTTTAAAAAAAAGTGGGTATAAAAATTGGATGATGAAAGATGAGTCAAGATGGTGAGACATTTATCATCATCTTTTATTGAGGTCAAATTAAGGAAAAAAAAAAAATTTGGCCTAGACAATTCTTCGACAGTTAATATAGTTAATGTGTAACATGACGGAGTTAGGAAAAAAACTGTTTGTCGTACTAAGGTTTAGTTTTGAGATTACAAAATTTAACTGTAAACACATTTGGGTTGGAATCAGCTTAGAGCTCATAGGAAGCACCAAATTAGATTTCAGTTGTCACCATGTTTCGAATTATTGGGTCAAATATCTGGATATTGCAGACAAAAGAAAAACGTGTGACAATGATTTGGACCCATAATTAATAAATTAATAACAATGATAAGGAGATGGTGTGGATTATGACAGAAACAGGCATAACATTGTTTTGTTCCGTTAAACTGATTAGCCATTTATGATAACTTAATATGTGTTTAGAATATCTTCAAAGAGGATGTCAAATTTTGAAAAATAAAATTTAAATTTGACAGCCTATATGGCATTTTGATATCTTTTAAAGTTTTATTGTCTATCTGATATGTCAAATTAAATTATTATTTTATTATATTATAAAATAAATGATTAAATTAATAAAAACTTAATAAAAGACATTTAATAATTATGAAATCCGGACCGTTCACCATTTTTTTTTTTAACAAGAGGGACTGTTCACTTACCTCGATTGAACAAAAGGGAAACAGATCAACAACAACATTAATTGCAATGATGATTAAAGCAATAAAATTTAATAAAAAGCATTAATAATTAATTTTGAAGCTGCTGTCAATTTTGACAACAACTCTCTCACGCATAGACAAACACATTAATAACCGCAAATTCATATTTACTAACAAAAAGAGGGAAATAAAGAAGGAATAACTCATAAGCTGAAAAGAAAAATTGATGTCTCAGGGAGTTAAGTGAGACAATAGTTGAATGTCAGGGATTAGTTAAGTGGCAAAATTTGATTTTTGGGAGATTAAATGAGCGGTATAAGTTGCTCTAGACAGTGTTTGCTCTAAATCTGCGAAACCTTGAGTTCGAGCTCATTTACTAATTAGGTTAGTTTCATGTGCTAGATGATATATATTTGAGAAAGTAACCCCTTCCAAGTAATACTTCCATCCAAAATTGCTTAACTTAAAAGTTTGTAATGAAATTCGTGAGTAGTTATATATGATCGCATCGAATTCTCTCAATGTACTTGCTTACATGTTTTGAAAACCTAGTAAATTAGGTTCTCATCCTTCTTTTTACTACTCCATTGATTAAAATCTTATTCATTTTCAATTTTTGATCAAGGTCTTTGGGTATTAATAACATCATTAATTATTTCAATAATAAAATATTTTTTTATTTCTAAATATATTCACTGTTAAAAATGTTACAATTAGTATATTTATATTTATGACTAAATTTTTTATCATATATTTTTAGTTTTAGTTTGTACCCATTTTTAGTTTGTAATTCTTTTTTAATTTGTACCAATTTTCTTTTCAGTTTTAATTTATACCCATATATTAATTTCTTTTTGTGCCCATATTTTTTAAAGTTTGTTTGTATTTGTACCCATATATTTTTTTTATTTGTATTTTTTATTTTGCTAAATGTACCCATGCTAATTATATGTACCCATTCATGTAAAACTTTTAAATCTTAAAATGTACTCATTCTTAAATATACCAAATTGTTATATGTAAAATGTACAATTTTTTATATAAAATCTATTCAATTTTTTTCTAATCCATTTTTAAACTTATATGGGTACATTCTTTTTTCTTTGATTTTAAAATGTATCCATATCAAGTTTAATCGAAGAAATTTACTAATGTTATTAAGCCTAATATCTTTTTTTTTTTTTTTTTTTGTGATTTTGAAGAATGTACCCATGTTTTGATAAAATTATTTTTTTGGTTAATTTTGATGAATGTACCCATGTTTATATACACACACACACAATAGTATATTTATATTTTAATATTTTTAATCCCACAAATTATGATTTTTTTATTTAAAATATCATTTATATAAACAACTAAAATTTCTAATTTTTAATTTAAAAAATATAGTGACCTACATAAAAATAAATTATCACATTAATTTCCAGACCTTGATCAAAAATTAAAAACCAACAAAATTTCAATAAAAAAATATTCATAATTAAGAACCGTATCAAAAATCTCTCTAATTAATAATGAGGTTGTGTGAATTTCCAGTTAGTCGGTAAAAGCGACTTGTAGCCGTAATTAGGAAGAGGAGGCACCTGCCAGTTCCAAAGAGTAGTGTGGGCCCAATACTGAGGAATGACCACGTCGGCAATGTTTATGGATGGGTTTGCATTACCAGCTATGCCATAATGCACCACTCCTTCTATGTTGAAGAGGCTTAACAAAAGCTGAGTAGTAATTCCTGCATTAATCTGCAAAAACATAAAAATGATAACACATGCAATCAGAAAATAGGTTACAAAAAGAAACTTTGAGTGTGACGATCATAACATCACCTGATGTTATTAATTTACGTATTATATATAAATAAACGATATAATATATGTAATAGAGTATAATTAATATCAATAAATATGCCACAACCTGAGTAAATTAATAACACCGTGTTGCAATGTGATTCGCACCCATGCTGAAATATTACTCGAAGAAAAACTAAAGTGAATTAGAAAGTCAGAAGGTATATGACAATATATATGTATATGTGTCTGTACCAGTGAGAGTCCCGTCATAACCAATATGACTTTCTTGTTAGCAATGGTTCCGAACCGAAATCTTCTTCCTTTGAAAACCAGAGAAAGAAAGTATATATTTCATTCTAATTATTTGCTTCATTTTGATTTTAAAAAGGTCTAAGTTCAAATCCCCGTCTTCTTTTCCAGATGAAGAAGTAGAACACGATTTGTATGCGTACCGGAAGCATCTATAGTAAAGTTAGTTGAGGTGAAGTTTGGAGATTGAAGAAGAGGGTTCATTTCGAAGGTGTTTGGAATGCAGCATCTGCCTGCAGTTGTCCGATAAGCATGAAGATGCTGATCATCATCAGAGAAGCTACTACTGATGAAGCTCCCATCTTTGTGTGTGAGAGAAAAAAGAGAGGTGGCCTAAGGAATCAAGAATTAGAGAATTTATGGGAATTTTTCAATGTATCAGGAATATGGATGATACACCATGTGTTGCTACACAAGTGGTGAGATACTTGTGTTAAAAATTAATTTACAAAATAAAACTTCTCTCCACTTAAATAATGATACGTGGTATATCACTCGTGTTCTGAGTACTTATCAATCGATTCAAAATTTCTCCAAATTATAAGTCCAAATTTGCACCGGCGTGTTACTTATCAATCGATTCAATCCCATGCCATGTGTTGACGAACACCTATCAACCCCAACGTCTGTGTATGCTATTATTTCACAAACACGTGTCATCATCTGGGTGGATTAATTAAAGCCATAATTTGTCAAAAATTAATGAGATTAGGACGTAGACCTAACCTTGAACTAAAGAACAAAAATCCGTACGCATTTAGTAATTAATGAGATTAGGACGTAGACCTACACATTTAGTAATTAATGAGATTAGGACGTAGACCTAACCTTGATCTAACGAACAAAAATTCGTACGTATTTAGTAATTAATGAGATTAGGATGTAGACCTAATCGATCAATGTAAGATGAAAAGAAATATGTGTATGTATGTGTAAGTTGTAAGAGTACTCTTCTCGAGAGTAACTGACGTCTTAAAATAACTAAGACGTTATAATTTTGATTAAAATGAGTAAATAAAACGAGCTCCACGAATGTGTTGTCATGTTTTGTGGCCATGCATGCACATAGGAAAACTAATCCCTAAATTTCTAGGCCGGTGGCCTCTATCTAACATATGCATGTTAATCAAATCCCCTTGTACTATATACAAGATGAGGCTCAGCCAATTCTCAACAGATGTCAAATTTTATTTTTACAGTTGATGTGGCAAAATAATATTTTGTAAAATCTCATATTCTAACCGAGATGTCAAATTAAAATGTTGTTTGGATATTTATAAAACCAAGTGGGTCATAATAAAATAATTAATAAGTGAAGAAAAATAAACATGTGGACCCAACATTAAAATAAAACAAAAACAAATTTTAACGTTGCCTTCAAATTTGGCAGCAAAGTGAAGAACGTCGATCCATGTAGAATTTTGGCATCTCTTTCGACACGAGAAAACCACATTTCTTTGTCTAAACAATCCATGTAGAATTTTTAACATTTTTTTAGAGATGCTCTTGGCTCTCCTTGTCCTCATGCCAAGTATATACTCGTTCCTAACAACGTGATACAATTTGTACTGATTTAGTAACAACACGTGACATAAAGATGCTCACGACACGTACCTATACTAGCTACCACTAGCTCACAATGAGTGAGTGAGAGGGACAAGGATTGTCTGCCCTCCTGTTTGTGTGGTCATGATTAAGTTACATCAACATTTTATATTACTATTCATTTTTGTCTTATTATCTCTATAAAAAAAACAATATAAAATATTGACGTGACTTAACCGTGACCACACAAAACACAAGAGCATGGGAGGGCAAACAATCCTTGTCCAAGTGAGAGAAGCATGAACAGCACACGAGTTTACTTCAAAACCAAAAGTTAGTTCCTTTTGTTACTTGGGAGTCTTGGACGTTTGAACCAAAGATTTAGGAACTTGAGATAACCAACATTGGTTTTGTTTCTTAGGAATAGAAAAAAAGAACTTTAACGAAAGACTCCCAGTACTGTTTACTTTAATGAAAAAACACATTTTTACACTAAAAAATCAATCATAGTACTATTCACTTTACCCTTTATTTTATCCTTATCGTTAAAACTCAAAGTTTTCAAGCCTTTTTCATTAGTTTTCCTAAAGAAAAACCAACTCAAACTCATTTGATGGTTCCGAATTGGTTTTCGAAAATGTTACGAAGCTCAATTGCCAGGTTGTTTTCATTTTTTCTGATGGAAAAAGACGACGATTTACAAAGACTTAACTTGGAAAAGTGCTACCATATTTACACCGCTTAACATGACAAACTAGTACCTATTTCAAACTTGAACTTTGTAAGCAAATGATAACACAAGTTTTATTGTCAACAAAGCGTTAATCAATGGGCTACAGACCAGGGGGTTTCAATAACGGAACCAGATTGTATACCCCTTCCACATCAACGGGGACTCTGAGAGCCCGGCTAAGGAGCTCGGGTGTAGTAGTCTTGCCCTTCCAAGTATTGAACCATGGTCCTCCTCCAACTTCCACTGCGGCCATGTTACTTGTAACATCCAATATCATCTAAAAGATGGACAAAATCAAAAGGTTCAAATCACACGAAAATTTTGCACAAGTCATCAAATGATTAACTACATCACACTACAGTATCAGGTAAGCCAGAAACATACGTACTGGGGGAAAAATGAAAAGGGGGAAACTATGCGGCATGGTCACTGGTTATGGCTTGTTTAATGTTCTTTTTTCTCGGTTACAGTGGCTTGTTTAATCCATACGAACAGTTGGAAGAGCAAATAGTTACCTAATGATGGGTGTTATGACAGGCTATGCAGAACTAGTCATTCCTGCTAAAAGATTTTGGGCTGATATCGGGTTTAGAAGTACTTTCAGCTAAAAATTGATATGTTCTAACCCAGGTCATCTAGATAACTGTTGCTTATTATCCATGACTTCTCTATCTCTACTGTGGCAAACCAGGGAAGGAAGTGTGCTCTAATGGAATATGGCATAGTTTTTGATTCGCACGGCAAACTAAAATGAAGGTCACAATAGATCTTGTCAAATAACTGGTCAACTTAGAGTTGTATGGCTTGCCTAGAACCAGGTTAGCTCTTTCATTTTCCTCAATTTATCAGAGTCCCAGACATATTGCAAGCCTGGGACAGGAAAAAATAAATAAAAGAACAGAAAAATTGAAGGAAAAAAAAAAAGAATGAGACCAATAAATACGTGTGTGTGTATGAGTGAAAAAATGTGCACCTTCCCCTTGCTGCCATCATATCTTCTTTCCCACATTTTCAATTTTAGATCACCAAAACAAGTATCTTTACAAGCTGGGGCAAGTCCAGCTTCTGATGTTGGGGCACGCAACGTTGTACCAGGATCCTCTGTTGTTGCCTCTAATTCAACCTGCTCATTAACAAGACCAATATGTTGGTGACTACAAAGGTTTTTATTACTTAGCACAACTATAGAGATTTCATTCCTAGGTATAAACTTCTATAATGTTTGAGGGAGGGGCAAGATGAAAGAGATGTTCAATTACCATGTGTGTTTCATTCTCTGCAGCAATGGACCAGTAACCCCAAGGAGCAACTTCCCAACTAACAATGCCATTCCACGGGACAAATTCATAAAATTTTCCCCCATAGTGAACTCCGATCTGCATCATAAATGCATGAATTGTGAACATGTTAAAGGAAACAAATGCACGACTATTTGTTTGCAATAAAGGGCAACGTGTGCTCTAACTTTACTTGGAAATTTTATTTTCATGGATATCTATCCAATTCCTAATTTATCATGAGCAATTGTACAATGCAAAGGATGAGCCTTTATTTCATCTTCATCTATTTTCCTATAACATATCTTATGAAGAAAATTTTACAGAGACCAACACAAACAACAAGATTCTGAATGCCAAAGCAACTGCTCAACCCCTACTTCTCCCTCCTCTCTGAATCTCATTAAAAATATTCCTCTCAAAGATAATTTAGTAGAACATAAACTGCGCAGAAGCAAACTAGGGAAAACAAGCAATGATTTAGAGCAAAATCCACCGGGGAAGTACCAAAGCAGCATTTTCAAAAGTCTCAGTTAATCCAGGTAGTTGCCTCAACCCGCCGCCTGATGTCAGAGCAATTTCTCCAGTAGCACCTTCAAAAACATTACATTGAACCTGCGGTGTGACATCAATCCATCCAAAAAATCAGTGGATGTGATGCCAAACAAATAATACAATGAAGAGTAAGCTTAACCTTTACTATAATAAGCCTACCCAGAACCATTTTCTTGGGAATGCTCCACCCCAATTCTTTTCAGAATAAGAAGGAGCATCTTCAAACTCAAATCTTTCACCGTCCCACTCTATCCAACCTGAGATTTAAATGGAAACTGAGATAATGCCCAGAAAAGTGCGTAGAGGTTTCTAAGACGTGCAAATTTTGGAGTATAGGATATTCAAAAGAAAGAAACACATGATTGTCCAAAAATAAAATAGCTAAATGGTCCACGAAATATCTGCAAGGAGTTAAAGGAGATAAGCAAATGCCTGTTGACAATCCACCAGCCATGCATATTTGCCAATGGGGTTCAAATACAGGAAAAGCTGCTAACCAGCCAGCAGTAGATTTCTGCTTAGACCCAACATCACCCCATCCATAAATTGGGCGGGTGCTGTATTCCCAGCGAGCAGTTGGCACAGTTTCCACATAATCTGACCTGACATGAACAAGAATGTACCTCAAACAACTAATAAACACTATGGGTTCAGGCAACCCAAATTTTCATAGGTAAATAACAAAATAAGAACAAGGAGAGGCATACCTGCCGTCATCACGAATAGAACCTTGATGCCAGAGTGGGGTGACTTGAAAACCTTCTACCACTCGACTATCAAATTCCTATGCAATATATTCCACATGTGAGGAAAAATTAAAAGAAGTAAATTGGGCGGCTATCTAGGAAGAATAATGAATATAAACCAAAACAAATAAGGAGGTTCAAATATAGTACCTTTGGAGGTACCTCCTTGTTCGGAGGTTTCAATTGTTTTTCTGCTATAAAAGTGTTCCCCAACATAAGCTCTTCCCTACCTACGCATTAAAAGCATTCACAACCAGCATAATTAAAGCGGATACACGGAGAATCCTAAAATAATACACAAGTCGAAAACACGAAATTCAGGACACCCAAAAGAGCAACAACATTTCTTTTATTAGATAACAACACATCATCCCAAAAAGTTTCGAAATTTGAAATTCTGCAGAAACAACAGCTTGAGTAACAAGGAAGCTATAAGTGATGCAACTATGAATCTCATGGAGAGTTCGATCCTAACAGCAAAAGTTCTTACTTCCCCAAAAGTTCTGAGATTCTTCAGAGTACTGGCAAATGTACTTGTCGTAAGCACCCAGAATTTGAGCACCGACGCCCGTCCATCTCTGCCCGTTCTGAGCCAATTCTAAAGCCGTCAGCGGCTTCTGGAACGCAGGATTCTCAACGGAGTACATGAAGCAGAAGCTCTGCCTCCGCTCCGGAATCGTAACCTTGAAGTACCATCCTTCAAAGAATTTCCGGGTAGTTCCATCAAAATGGTACCTAATTACAAAATTATCCACCAAAAATTCACTCAATTTACAAATTAAATCCCCAAAAACGTCAAGAAATTAAGCTCAATGCACATACATACCCGCTGTGAGGAGTTCGAAGGTCTCGACTTTGCGGTGTGGGGACGTAGGCGGAGCTCGCGGCGGCTTTGTCCTGCTGAGTTCTGGAGGACGAAATGGTGGAACTGATTCGAAACCCTGACTTCGGAGTCCTCAAAGAGCTGCTTTTTGAAGATTGAGAGCGGAGAGGGTTTCTGGTTCGGAAGTTCAAGCTTGGAGAGAAATGGTGGTGATCCTGCAGTGACGACAGGCTTGACTCCATCGATATACTGAGATGGAAGTTGAAGAGAGAAACAGGAGGAGAGAGGGAGGGAGAGAGAGGAGGTGAGGTGTGTATTAAGTGTATTGGTGTGAATTATTGTGTAACAGCTTTAAACAACAGGTGGATGAGAGGTGGCGGTTAAAGAAAGCAAAGACGAAATAAATGTTCAGAACCCGGCCCATATTACAAACCGGAAGGAAACAAACCCACATACATAAACCCGAACACGATCTCGTTTTAGGGCGAATTATAGTGGGTACTGAAATGTCTTGTGGATGATGAGTAATGTTCTCTTATTAGACCAGATTAATCTATCACTAATCAAGTGGGATGGAACCATTAGTTTGGTATAGGCTTTGTGGTTTAACGAGTATTTTATTGTCAGACAGTCACACACGTTATAAGATTGTCAATAAACATATATACAAAGTCTTGTATTAACAATTTGATAACATATACATCAGATTATTTGGTGTGTGTGTATATATATATATAAAGACCTCGCATTCAATACAAATAGTTGTGATTTTCATACTTGACTTTTTTTTTCTCTGCGTTCATCTTGTTTTTTGTTTATTAATTTTGTTTTGATTTATTTGATCGTACAACTAGAAAGAACGAAAAGTGCAAAGAGATAAACGAAAGTACAAATTTTAATACATAATGAAACAAATTTCGTTAAGTGGCTGAAATTAAGAAGGCCTCAAGCCATCAATAACATTCATCGCACTTCTTGCCTTTACTTTGATTTGGGAAATCTTACATTCAAAGAAAGGCTTTGAAGCCAAGAAAATGCCAACAACATGGTACAATAGTTTGTAGACAATTAGAACAAAACCTAGTTCAAGATTGTGCTTCACAACTGTTTCAATGTAGGAAGAAAAACACAAGAAAATGTTGTACGTATCGTCTATGAGAATCAAAACAAGGCCAATGGCGAATGCAAGCAAGAGACTAGTCAACATGACGGAAATAACGAGAAGAAGAACGCATGCGATGAATGCGGCGTGGAGAAATGCAACTAGGAAGAGATCGAGATTCAGTTCCATCGGAGGGTACAATTGAAAATAGTGAGAGAGAAAGTTGGGGATGTTATGAAGGAAAAAGGTTGAGCTTGAAGAACGAAAGAGATGAAGTGACTTGCACTCATTCTATTGAAAGGCAATGAAGTCATATTTATAAGTTATTTGGAGTTCATAGCAAGTCATTCCGTTTTGTGCAATTTGGCCAACCTTTCCTAGTTCAACAAGTAAAATTTTCTCTTGTTAAATAGCGCATCATGCGAAGGAAACTAGGTATCTCTTACAAACATACATAATCATTCCCACCTATGTGATAAGGGGGATAACGTTTGATTTAACAACTAGGAAAATGTTGTGGGAAAACCCTCGACCAATTTTTTCGAATGATCATATGAAACTGCTGAAGTGTTTGAACATTTTAAAACAGTTAACTAATCTAGAAACAAACAAAAACAGTCAATTGACCTCTAAAAATTCATGAAAATACCATCTAAAAGATGAATTGCCTTTCCTTTCTTCTTCTACAATACCATATATACAAGATTAAATGAAATGTTAAATTAAAAAAAAAAAAAAAAAAATCTGATTTGTAAAATAAAATCAGAAATCAATTAAGGCTTAAAATCAGAAATCAAAGGCAAAGTCCCAACCCAATTTGGGCCGACCGCGCCCCAGGCATAAACCCAAACTCGACCGAATCGTAAAAGTTTTCAGCCCGCTAGGACATAGCCCAAACATAAGGGTATTTCTGTCATCTCGTATCCAACCCTCCGAAAAGCCGGCTCAATTCGCACTTGTGTGAAAGTCTCTTTCGCCTTGCTCACTTCGAAGTTCTTACTTCCCCTACAAACTCTTCATTGTAGTCTCAGATCCATCGCTCATTCTCTCACCACCACCGATTGAGGGGCGAGAGAGAGAGAGAGAGAGGAGAGAGATTTTCAGTCGCCATGGGCGTGGCGAGCATGGCGATTCGAGGTTTCCTGCTTCTACTGCTGTTCTTATCAGCTGCACATCTCAGTCTTTCGCTTTACGAAGATCAAGTCGGTCTCATGGATTGGTAAATTTCAATCGCATACTCTCCGTTTCATAACTAAGAAATTATTGGAATATGATTAAGATTTGAAATTCGATTGAAGTCGCTTCACTTGATTTCTCTGAATCCAAACGGAAGTTAATATCTGTAGAATTCGATCTTATTTGTGTCGAATTGAATCGTATCCAAACTGTTAGTCGTAAGTTTGAATTTTTGTTTTTTGTTTTTGCATTGATTTTTTGCTCCGCGGGACTTTGAATTGATTTTTGTAAGTTTCTGTTTTGTTGCAGGCACCAGCAGTATATAGGGAAAGTGAAGGAAGCAGTGTTCCATACTCCGAAAAGCGGGAGGAGGCGGGTTGTGGTGTCCACTGAGGAGAATGTTATAGCATCGCTTGATCTCCGGCACGGGGGGATAAGTAAGTTCCTCACTATTTGAGATGTAATAATCATATATGGAATCTTTTTGTAGCCTCGGCTCCAACCTTGAACCGAATGTTAACCGGTGCTTTTGTTTTGTGCAGTTTGGAGACGTGTTCTTGGGAGCAATGATGTTATAAGCGGAATCGACATAGCATTGGGAAAATGTAATTGTTATACTGCATTCATCCTTTTTTGGTTAAATTTTGTCATTTGCCTCTACACTATATGATTACGTGAACTTTGTGGTTGAAAGACTCATTTGTCGGGAATAAACAAATTTCATATTATCACGTTAGGGAATTGGCTATAGAAAAAAGGGGTTGAAGTGTGCCACACTATTTTTTCTCTATTAGGAATCAATTATTAAATGCTTCAGCAATGAACGTATATTGTTGATGCAAAGGTTGAGCATTCTATGTCGTTTTTTCAGATGTCATTACCCTTTCATCAGACGGAAGTATTTTAAGAGCATGGAACCTTCCTGATGGTCAGATGGTTTGGGAATCCTTTTTAGAGGGCTCAGGGTCCTCAAAATCTTTATTAAGTGTCCCGGTTAGTAAACAACATTTACACTCACTCTTCCAAAGCTTCAATTATGCTACATGGTTCAATCTTACATTTGATGTTTGTGCAGACAAGTTTGAAAATTGACAAGGAAAATTTGATCCTTGTTTTCGGTAAAGGGTCTCTACATGCTATTTCTAGCATTGATGGCGATGTTCTTTGGGAAAAGGATTTTGCAGTTGAAAGGTGCGATGACTTAGAATTTTGTGATTAATAATCATTTGTAATACAATTCTTTTTTTGTATTTAGTAAATATTGCTATTTCCCTAATATTTTGTTGTTTCCATGTTTTCAGTGTAGAGGTTCAACAGATTGTTCAGCCTATTGGCGGTGATGTAGCTTATGTAGTGGGATTTGTTGGTTCTTCCCACTTTGATGTGTATCAGATCAATGTTAGGAACGGAGAGTTGCTGAAGCACAACAGTGCACCCTTTTCGGGTGGCTTTTCAGGGGAAGCACTGCTTGTTTCTAGTGAAATTCTTCTGACATTGGATTCCACGAGGTCAAAGCTGGTACTTGTAAGTTTTCAGGATGGAGAAATTAACTATCAACAGACACCTATATCTGATATTTTTGGGGATTCTCTTGGAACACCAGTGCTGTTACCTTCAAAACTTCCAGGATTTTTTTCTGTAAAGCTTAATGGGGCTGTCATATTCATAAGAGTGACTGGTGAAGGAAAGTTGGAGGTGCTGGATAAAGTAAATAATGTGGCAGCTATCAGTGGTGCAATCTCAATTTCAGATGGGCAACAGGCTTTTGGACTAGTTCAACATGGAGATGGTAAGATCCATCTTACAGTAAAGCCTACTCATGACTCGAGTGCTGATCTGCTCAAAGAAAGTATCGATATGGACAATCAGAGGGGGGTTGTTCATAAGGTTTTCGTAAACAATTATATCCGGACAGACAGGTCTAATGGGTTTAGGGCCTTAATAGTCATGGAGGATGACTCACTTCTGTTGTTACAACAAGGTGCAGTTGTATGGAGTAGGGAGGATGGGCTTGCCTCAATTATTGATGTAGTGACGTCAGAACTACCTGTGGAAAAGGTAGATGTCTCAGTTGCGAAAGTGGAGCAGAACCTCTTCGATTGGCTTAAGGTATGAATTGTGATATGGTTTAATGGAGTCGGAGACTTATAAGCAAGGCTAAAAGGTGTCGACTTTCTGCATGTTAACTGCATATGGGATCACACTTTGTAGAATTGCATAGCAGTGTGGTTTCATATGCAGTGTGTATACATATGCTCTTTTGGTAGTTTGTATACTGTGGTAGTCATTTTGGACCAGGGTTTTTTAGTTAACGTGTCTGCTTGACTGTTCTTCTTTCTTATTCTTTTTTCATTGATTTTGTGTTATTTTGAAGGGACACATACTGAAGCTTAAGGAACCTTAATGCTTGCAAGTGCTGCGGATGTTGCTGCTATACAAGAGATGAGGCTAAAAAGCTTTGAAAAGAGCAAACTGACCCGTGACCATAATGGTTTCCGGAAGCTTCTCATAGTACTGACGAGAGCAGGAAAACTTTTTGCCTTGCACACTGGATATGGGCAAGTTGTCTGGTCTCTCTTACTGCCTACTCTGCGTAAGTCTGAAACCTGCAAGTACCCGACTGGGTTGAATATTTATCAGTGGCAGGTACCCCATCATCATGCAATGGATGAAAATCCATCTGTGCTCATAGTAGGTCGATGTGGGCAAAGTTCTGAGGCACCAGGTGTTCTTTCTATTGTTGACGCATACACGGGCAAGGAAATTAACTCAATGGCTGCAGTACATTCTATTGTCCAAGTTATACCACTGCCATTTACTGATTCGACAGAACAGCGTCTTCATCTACTAATAGATGCAAACCAGCGTGGGCATTTATACCCAAGAACATCTGAGGCTGTTGATATTTTTCAACGGGAGTTCACAAACATATACTGGTACTCGGTTGAAGCTGATAATGGCATTATCAAGGACATGCTTTGAAGGGCAATTGCAACCAGGAAGCCGTAGATAGCTACTGCTTTGAGTCCAAGGATATATGGTCGATTGTATTCCCATCTGACTCAGAAAAAATCATTGCAACTGTGACAAGAAAATTGAGTGAGGTATGGTTGTGTCTTGCTGTCACATACTATTTAGGTCTAACCCTGTAAGCGAACATACTGTTCGTGAAAATTTTGCATTTTTTCCTTTAATTGTATCTGTTATATTTTTTTTTTAATTTCTTCACTTTGTTTATTTTTTTATATTATGGTTCTCTGTATTTTTTGTTATTTCATCTTGTAGATCATTCCCTCTTCACTTTGTCATGTAGATTCTATCATCCATAGTCAACCTTTTAACAAACTTTGGTCATACTAGTCCTCTTGGCATGGCCAGTTTTATTGGAAAGAGGATTCTTGTGGTTTGATTTACTACCCCCTTATTTGGTCTGTAGTATGTTTGGTCAGAAAGGAATAGTAGGTTTCTTGAGGAGTGTGGTACTGTACTCATGAGCCTAAACATTTTTTTAGATTGTTATGAACTTAAGACAAAAAAAAAAAAAAAAAAAAAAATTGCTATTTCATTCGATCATTGCTTGCACAATTGAATTTGTTTCTTCACATTTTACTTCTCGAAAAAGGAGAAATTTGGTCTTTCAGTCTTTGGGTATGCTTTTCTGTTTTATATTTTTGTAACAAAGGCTAGTGATTCTCCGTCCAGGTGGTTCATACTCAAGCAAAGGTTATTGCAGACTCAGAGGTGATGTATAAATACATATCTAAAAATCTACTCTTTGTGGCAACTGTTGCACCAAAAGGCAGTGGTGAAATTGGAACAGCTAGCCCAGAGGAGTCCTGGTTGACCGTATATCTTATTGACACTGTAACTGGTCGTATATTGCACCGGATGACCCATCACGGTTCACAGGGACCTGTCCATGCTGTAAGTTTTCCTTCTGCTTTGTTTATGGTTGTGTAATTGAGAACTTGAGAGACAATTCTCTTAACAAGTTTCTACATCTTGCAGGTTTTCAGTGAGAATTGGGTTGTTTACCACTACTTCAATCTTAGAGCACACAGATATGAAATGTCAGTCATTGAGATATATGATCAGTCCCGAGCGGTATGGTTAAAAACTTTTAACTTTTTATGTATACTTTGTCCAGTGGTTGCCATTAAATATGCAATCTGAATCAAAATGCAATTCACAGGATAACAAGGATGTTTTGAAGCTTGTTCTTGGGAAGCATAATCTTACTTCACCTATTTCATCATATTCTCGACCAGAGGTTGTGACAAAATCACAGTCCTACTATTTCACATATTCTGTTAAAGCAATAGATGTGACCTTAACAGCAAAGGGTATAACTTCAAAGCAGCTTCTTATTGGTACAATTAATGATCAGGTAGGGTACTACCTTTGAGGATCCTGAGATATTATTTTGTTTTGTTCTTTGGGACTCTATTCCTCGTATTACACTTGCTTTTATATCTCCCTTTAACTAGGGTAAACACTTCGTAGGTTTTGGCACTTGACAAGCGTTTTCTAGATCCCCGTCGGTCACTCAATCCCACACAAGAGGAGAAAGAGGAAGGCATTATTCCTCTGACTGATGCATTGCCAATAATTCCTCAGGTATGCTAGTAGTATGTACTATCATCATTATGAGAGCATATCTTGCAAAGCAATTCTTAATATTTCCTTGATCCTCTTAATTCTCAGCATTATTGACCTTAAATCTTCTACTGTATGATTAATTTTACAAAAATCTGAAACGCTATCGGTTTAGTTGTTGGACTTTAATGTGGGAGGTTTAAAGAAACGGTATACAAGATATGCTTGTTTAGGTTCATATTTCCTATGCTATCGTATATCTTATTTCAGAGTCCAGTTTTCAAAGAAGCAATTTTTTTGTATGTAAAGTTTTGTATAACTTCTGAGCAGTATTTGGATATTGATCCTTAGCTTAGCAGGGAGATAGATAATTATTACTTTCAGTATTGAACAGTAACATTGAGGTGGCTCGATTTCTAAAAACCTGCCTTGGAATTTTGTTGTAGCTCTAATTTTTTAAGCACCTCTTTCTTTTTGCTAATATTTGGTCTGAATGTCTTATACAAATCTTGTACCTGCAGTCCTATGTGACACATAACCTCAAAGTGGAAGGACTTCGAGGCATCGTGACAGTACCTGCCAAGCTGGAATCAACAACTCTTGCCTTTACATACGGAGTGGATCTGTTTTTCACTCAACTCGCTCCCTCGAGGACCTATGATTCGCTCACAGACGATTTCAGCTACGCGTTGCTTCTCATCACCATAGTTGCACTCATAGCAGCAATCTTTGTCACATGGGTTTGGTCGGAGAAGAAAGAACTAAAAGAGAAGTGGAGGTAACCTGTCTTCTAGGTATTTCGATCTGACATTTTTGCGTTTTTTTCCCCCGACTTTTAACTTAAATTAGGAGGTTTACTCCCAAGTCGTAATTTTAGCATGCCTAGCCTAGCTTTAGAGGCATTTTATGTTGTAAAAATTCGATATTATTTTTTTGTATCGACATTCGACAATCTAGATTGTGTCTTGATGTTGTACATTTCAAGTGCAAGAAAATAGTGAACTCTTTCACGCCGTTTAGATTCTCTAAATAAGTAGAATGCATCGTCGTGTTATTTGGTTTGGGGTTTCCATTCTTCTTCTAGAGACTTACATGGCCCGCTTACTCTATCACAGTGTCGTCTCGTGCTAATGGAATAAAGACAGTTTTTATCAATATGTTCTTGTTTTATTAGCACGGGATGCCAGGTGACGGTATACCTGTGTGCCATGTAAGTTGTTCCTTGTAAGTTGTTTCCGTTCTTCCGACCCTGAAGTAATCAATGTTCATGAAATAATGAGATTCCCCCCCATTTGGTCAAATTTGTGCTTTATGAACTGGCATTAGCATGGCCAGTCCATAATTGAACTGCACAGTCTGCACTGGTCCTATAAAACTTGTTGGCTATCAGTCGTATGTCGGTGATTTCTCCGTACTTGTTTTGCAAACTGTGCAATAGCCGGTCAAAAGAAACTTGATGCAGTAAGGGAGTAATTTCTACACGTTATTCTTCACGTTCTGCAATCCCTTTTCGAAGTATAGCACTCAATTCCTCTTTGATTTGTTTAATGACTATAAAAATGAGTATGCAAGAGGTGAAAAATGGCGTGCCGAAATAAACTGCACTTTTCTTTTTAGATCGTCAATTTACTTCAATTTTTGAAGGATTTTTACTAAGATTGTTCTTGAAATTGACAAAACTTTTTACTTTGGTCTCTAAGATTTACAATCGAGAGAATTGGTTCCTAGGTTTACCCATTGTTCATCATTTTGGTCATTATGCAGAAAATATTCGTTAAATAATGGTAAAAATAAAAAATAAAAAAAACTCTCTTTTTTTTTTTTGTCAAATTATTTTGGCTTAAGTATTTATTAAAATGAGAGGAGTATTTTTTTATAAATTTAGTCCTTATTTAATAGCATTAAGCTTTTCCATTATAAATTGATTTGAAATATTTGTAGGCTTTTTAGTCAAAATGGTTGCTGAGATTTGCATAACTCCTCATTTTGATCTCTGAGATTTGAAATCAATAGAACTTGTCCCTGAAATTGTCCACCATCAATCATTTTGATACTTTGATGAAAAATTATGTTAAGTAAGGGATCAAAATGACAAAAATACCCTCAATTTAAATTTGAGAGTATTTTTGTCATTGTATTCTCAATGGAGATATTTCAAATAATGACCAAAATGATTGATGGTTGACAAACTTATGGACGAATTTTATCGATTTCAAATCTCAATGACCAAAGTAAGGAGTCATACGAATCTCAAAGACCATTTTGACTAAAAAAACCATATTTGTATCAGACATTTGATTTAGTACATGTTTGGCACCATATGTGAAATAGGTTGAAAGTGTATGTCAGATACTAATCTACGAAACACTTCAAGGTGACATTTCAAGAAAAATAAAAAATAAAAAATTCCGGGTATTCACACTTGTTTTTTTTACTAATTTTCTTGTCCGTCTCTTTTATTTAATAAAAAAAATTAAGAAAATCAAAGTGTCAAAAAGAAAGAGATTTTATCCGGATTCTTTTCACCTAATCTTCATGAGCCACAAATCCGGATTTTTAAAATTTGATCTAACGTTTAAAGTTATTATAATTTTTAATAGGACCTCTTATTTATAATCGTTAAATCAAATTTCAAGAACCCGAATTTGTAGGTCATGGGATTTAGGTGGAAGGGATCCGGATGCTCTTTCTGTGTAAAAATTGGATTTGGATCCTCTCCTAAGCCCAAGGAGAGGTTCCTCCTAACCAAGAACTGTGAACATCCAACGCCAATACTTATTATAATTTTAAAATAACATTCCTATTGGTAACCGTTGGATGAAAATCCAATGGTCCACAGTCCTTGATCAGGAGGATCATCGCCTTTGGCTCAAGAGAGAATCCAAATCTGAAAAAATTACCACCCATGTAAAATGTAACCAGAAGAAAATGCCACGTCATGTTATTTTTTAAATTTGTGTTATTATTTTTTGCCTCAAAGTGGAAACTGACACAGTACTGGAACCTCCATATATAGACTAGGACGACGCTTCCCCACACTCACATGCCCACACCACATCCTTACAACTTTCACCATCTTCCTCTGCTCTCTCTGCTCTCTCTCTCTCTCTCTCTCTCTCTCTCTCTCTCTCATCGGCAACAGAGTTAGACTCAGCACCCATGAAAACTCAGCACCCAAAGCTCAAAACCCATCTCTTCTCCTGCGGCTTCTTCCGCCACTGTACCCGCACCGTCCTCAGCCCCACAACCCCTCACCCTCCGCCGCTCCCTTTCTCCTCCTCCGACCCACTACCACCTTCACTCTCATTAGATTCATCACCTCCTACTCCTCAGCCGCCCGAGCCGTCAACCCACCACCACTGCCCCTCCAAACCCGACTCCGCCTCCTCTTCCTCCTCCACTTCCCAAAGCTTCACCCAGTGGAAATTCGATCTCCCGGACTCCCCCATCCTCCCTTACTCACAACCTGAACCCGACAGAAAACCCGAACCCACATCAAAACCGCCGCCGCCTCCGCCGCATCCCATTTCCTCCACTAACCTGCAGGAGCTCTTCCATGCAGCGGAGCTCCAGCTCAGCATCGGGTCATACCCGGAGCAGATCGCGGCGCTTCACCTTTTAGAACGCTCACTTGTTCCTTACCCGCCACCAGACCCGGTTTGCCCGCCCGAATTAATGCGCGGGGTAGTAAGAAATTTAAAAAACAAGGCGGCGGCAAAACCGGCAACGAAAATTTTGTTGGCGCTTTGTCTGGCGGAGGGAAACCGTCACGTGGCGGTGGAGTCCGGTGCGGCTGCGGCGGTTGTGGAGACGGCATTGGAGTTGGAGGCTGCTTCGGCGGAGCGGTCCCTTGCGGCGTTGGAGCTGATGTGTACTGTGGCGGAGGGGGCGGCGGCGGTGAGGGCGCATGCAATGGCGGTGCCGGTTATGGTGATGATAATGGGAAGGACGTCAGCACGGGGTAAGGAGTATGCGATTGGTGTGCTGGCGGTGATATATGGTGGTGGGGACGATGAAGAGGCGGCGGAGGCTGTGGCGGCGGCACCGCGGGAGGAGGTGGCGCGTGCGGTGGAGCTGGCTTTGCAAGGGGATTGTAGTGGCAGAGGGAGGAGGAAAGGGGCCCAGCTACTGAAGGTGCTTCAAGAGAACTAATGTGGTCTTTGTTTGTTTGGTAGAGGATCAACAAACGTAGTAATGCTACATAATGTATTATTGTTCTTTTAATTTTTTTAGTAAATTGGTATTCCAATAAACTACTCTTATCTACCTAATCAAACTGATCTCACTAACATAACTTTTAAACTTGGACTAGTTTTAGTTTTTATTTTTCATTTTTGTGCCACATATATAGAGATGAAAAAGATGTTGATGGAAAAAAATGGGTATGAATAACACGCACAATGATAATTGAAAATAATTCATTTTCAGTTTCAAAATTTTGTTTCCACACATGATAATGGTGTTCAAGTTTCATTTTTTACTAATCACACAATCCATTCAATTTTTAATCGTCGAATCAAATGAGTTGAAAAAAATCAACAACAAAATGTTAATAAAAGTACGTAAAAAATAAAAATAATTGTGCGAATAGTATTATCTTACGAGTAATCTCCTACAGTCTTCACTCCTCTATCACCACCGCCTCTCAGCGGTCCTCTCTTCTCCTTGATATACATTCCATTTGGCGATAGTGCAAAAATGCAAAATAAAAAACTAAAAATAACATAATTATCAAACAAACTTGTAATTAGTGCGCTTGCGAAGGGTCCAATGTTCCCATGACAACTGGCGTAACTGCAGAATTATTTTCTTTTGTATTGAAATCGAATAGATAAGATATTTAATCCCATTATTTGGCTCAATATCCAACAAGGGCCATACCGACTTGGTATATACATATAATTAAGTAAACAAATCGTAATGTAAAATTCAAGTAATTAATTCCAAGTGCTCATTTCCCTTCAAGGCATTGCCTTCCTTGTCCCTTCCCACTCCCTCCCTTTGAAAACCCCTTTCAAACTTTGTACAAAAAGAAAAACAGATCCCTAAATTAATTAGAATAGTTATGCACAGCTTCTGGTGGCTCCTTGGTGTTCTTCACCATGTCATTTGGGTTGCAACCATGCTGCTTACAGTCCAAGCCATGCCGCCACCGCCCCCAATTCGCTGCGACCCATCAACCGGGTGCAGCCTCTCCAACTCCTACGGCGTATGGGGTGATAGAAAAGATTGCCACGTCCCATCCGCGGCACACCCACAAACCGAAGAGGACCTCCGCCTCGCCGTGGCTTTCGCAAGCAAAAACAAGGTCAAGATCAAAGTGGTGAGCAAATTTTCACATACCATACCAAAGATGGCATGTCCCGACATGAGTTTTGGAGACGCAATGCTAATAAGCACGGCCAATGTCAATTCCACGATTGAAATCGATGTGGCGAATTTAGCTGTCACGGTTGATGCCGGCGTAGGGCTACGACAGTTGATCGACAAAGTAGAGGAAGCTGGGCTGAGCTTGGTGGCTGCGCCGTATTGGGAGGGTGTGAGTGTAGGAGGGCTTATAAGCACGGGAGCACATGGAAGCTCGTGGTGGGGAAGAGGAGGAGCAGTGCATGATCATGTTATTGGTCTTAATCTTGTTGTTCCAGCAAACCGATCAGAAGGGTATGCGAAAATTCTCAGATTCGATTCAAAAGATGAAATCTTTAAAGCTGCAAAAGTTTCATTGGGGTTGTTGGGTATCATCTCCAAGGTTGGTAAACAGTCCTTGTTTCTTATATTCATGGTCAATCATATTAGAGTCGTTAACCTTACTAATTAAACCCACTTTTGAATACTAATTGACGTAAAATTTATTTTTTGCGGTGAAAAAGTAAAGTCTAGAGTGAGCTAAAACAAAAAACAAATGGAACGTGGTTACATAATTTGAGATCTTAAAAATTAATGTTAATAAGTTGGTGTTTCTAGTACTACTCATTGATAGGAAAAAAACTTCAATAAAGCAACCAGATCACGTAATTGTTAGATACTTTCAAAAAGAATCAGACACACATATGTAAGGCTGTATAGTATCCACATATTGGGACCTATTTTTTTATAAGTATAGCCTGACTAATTACGTGATTAGGTTGCGCCCTATTGAAAGCTTTTCTCTATCAGTGGCTATGCAGTGTTGGATAACTTTCTAATAGTTAAGTTTTATTGAATTATTGAAGTAAGATTTAATTAGAAATTGGTCAGTATACAGGTGAAGTTGAGATTGGAGGCAGCATTCAAAAGGAGCATAACCTATAACTTTACAGACGATGCTCAAATAGAGGACATATACATGGAGCATGCTAAAAAGTACGAGTTTGGAGACATAACTTGGTATCCATCGAAGCATACAGCTGCATACAGATACGATAACAGAGTTCCTTTCACCGCAGCAGGCGATGGAACATATGATTTCATAGGCTTCCAGTCCAATTCTGTTGTGGTCGCCAAGACTATAAGAGCAACAGGTAATCATGTCTTCTTTCATTCTCTATTGCTTTTGTAATTTTTGGGCATATTACTTCTTCTGTTACTTGTATATAGAAGAAAAACATTAATTATATCTCTTATGTGGGAACCCATTGCTAACAATAGATCTCCCCTCCAAGGTAAATTTTAAGTACAAGTGGATGCATCAATGTGCTCTCTTAATGTTATATGTATTGTGAGGAGAGAGAGAGAGTACGACCATACAAAATAATATACACCAAGTTGTACTTAAGTTTATTTTCGCGTATAAAAATATATAGGTGCATGTGATTCACATACATATCTTTTTTTTTTTCAAGTCATGGGTTTGATATATCATTTAATTTTTAGTGTTGCTATTTGTATCATGTTAAATGATTGATATAAGAAGTACCTCTATAATAATAAAAAGTGTTAGCATCAGTTGCCAATATGTGCATAATGTGTTTTCATGCATATAGAGTACATGATCATCCATTACTCAAAATGTGTCATGTGCCCATTACGTGACTTGAGGCTTAATTGTGCATACACGCCTCTATAATCCGCAGTGCTTTCAAAAGAGTGGTATACATACTCGATAATCAATTAAAATGGTACAAATATATAGTTTAATTTGTTACGTTATTATATTACTCTAGACATAAAAACTAAAAGAGGGTGTAAATTCGAAATGTGCAGAGAAAACGTTGGACAACGGACGAAGCTCGGTTTTCCAATGCACACTAGCATCTACATTTTTGGGGGCCAAGAAATTAGTGGCCAATGGTTTGAAAAATAACCTAATCTTCACTGGTTACCCTGTAGTAGGCCACCAGGGAAAAATGCAAACCTCAGGTTCATGTCTGTACTCAACAGGCACAGACAATTCCTGTGCATGGGACCCAAGAATCAACGGCCTCTTCTTTTACGAGACAACAGCAATATTTCAAGCATCAACATTTGCAGACTTCATCAAAGGCGTCAAAAAACTACGAGACCTAAAACCAAAAAACTTCTGTGGCGTGGATATTTACAATGGTTTTTTAATTCGTTTCATTAGGGTTTCCGATGCCTATCTTGGTCAACAAGAAAACTCCGTGGTCGTTGACTTTAATTACTATAGAGCCGCTGATGCATGGACTCCAAGGTTCAATGAAGACGTGTGGGAGGAAGTGGAGCAACTGGCATTTTCCAAGCATGGGGCAAAGCCACACTGGGCTAAAAACAGAAACGCAGCGTTTTTGGGTGTGAAAAGACTGTTGGATCCTCAAAATATATTATCGAGTGAATGGTCGGATGAGATTTTGTTTGGGAAAGCAGGTGCAAGGGCTGATGGGTGTGCTTTGGAGGGTCTTTGTATATGTTCTGAAGATCGGCATTGCAGCCCTGTGAAAGGGTATTTCTGTCAACCTGGACTTATTTATAGGGAGGCTAGAGTTTGTAGGTACTCATCATCCTCTGTGGAATCAGAGAGTGACAAAACTAATTTGATATTTGATTAATCATTTCGGAGTGTTAGGAACAGATCATTTTATTATTTTACAAATATTATCGACAATCTATATGAATGCAGGTAGTAAATATATATATTCGAACTTTTCAGATGTAAATTATTGATAGCATCATACTTTAGAAAAAAACACTTCAAGTTTAAATATTTTAGAGAGAAAAAACCAATTTGCTTTGTAACATCAAAAAAATTTCACAACTAAAAGAATCGATTAGAGCATGACAAGTAGATATAAGAGAGATTTTTTTCTCCAATTGAGCTCTTAAAGTAATTTTTATAAAGCTTAGAATTGTCAGGATGTTTGTTTTTCTAATCTACTACAAAAGTTTCAGTGGCATTTTAAAAATTATTATTATTATTCCATACGTTGTATCTATATGGACTGGAATTAAGGGGTGAGAGCAAGAATTGGAATACAGTTGTTGGATTTGTCTTTTTATTTTTTATTTTTTGTTCTTATATTTGTGTTTCTTTCTCTAGTTAAATTTCCATAAAATGACTTGGTATTTTTGTGTCCAACTGTTATGGTTGGATACTTAATTCAGATTTTTCCAAATCAATCTAGGAAGTAGTGGTGAATTCCACCCTAGCTGTTTGTTTTAATACAATACATGTTTGATTAAAAGAAAATTGCAATACACTTTTATTTTATGATAGAACAACACACTTTTATTTACTTAAAGATTTAATAAGATTAAAGTAATAGTATCACCTTACATTATTGGCTCCTAAGTATATGCCGACATTTACATGGATCCGACAGCAAAAGGAGGATCCGATGATATTCATTCATTCATTCATACAGAAGGTACTGTACAGTGGACGCACATTGATCAGTCAACATCTCGATGTGTGCATGTCATAGCGTTCCTCTCGAAGTCGAAGTGTCCGCTTGCTTCCTTTTAAACTTTACCTCAGTACTACTCGATGATCTTTGAACACGATCATATATAACTTTGTATGCCAATTATATAAGCCAAAGAAGTCTGTTTCCGTTCCGTTTAGTTCTAACGCAGAAAATTATGCCAATTTGTACGAGGCATGCAACTTGCAAAGTTCTCGGCATCAAACAAAGTTGGGAAGTTGCATGCCACATCCAGTTTTGTTAAGCGTTATCAATTAACTAATAGCTATACGTACCACTTAGCAAGGCGATAAAAGTATTGAAGAGGCCCTTGGAATTTCCATTGGCAGAATCTGAATGACTTAACTCTATTGGTAAGTATATAGAGAGGTGTAGAAACTTGTGCAGTTTGTTTATGGCTCTTCGGGATGATTTTGAGTCGCTTCGTAGTCCTATTTTGGGCCGCAACCCAATTCTTTCTGTTGATTATGTGCTTCATGAGTTACAAGCCAAAGAAATTCGCTTGTAGTCATGTGCTGGAGTTGTTCCTTCTACTTGACAAGTATAAGAATGGAACCCAATTTCAACACGTGACTGCAAACAAACTTTTTTGACTTGTGACTTATGACGCACATAATTAACATAAGGAAGTGGGGTCTGATGCAGAATAAAACAACGAAGCAACTCAAAATCATCCTAAAGAGTCATACAAAACTGCACAAGTCTCTGCTCCTCTCTATATGAGCAAGACTTAGCAATAGAGTGAAGTGCCAATGCAAGATGGTCCCAAAGGCCAGTCATTATCTTTCCTACAACATATTTGAAGAATGCAGAAAAACAATAATCCCAACCAAATATTTGACTTGTGACTTATGACGCACATAATTAACATAAGGAAGTGGGGTCTGATGCAGAATAAAACAACGAAACAACTCAAAATCATCCTGAAGAGTCATACAAAACTGCACAAGTCTCTGCTCCTCTCTATACGAGCAATACTTAGCAATAGAGTGAAGTGCCAATGCAAGATGGTCCCAAAGGCCAGTCATTATCTTTCCTACAACATATTTGAAGAATGCCGAAAAACAATAATCCCAACCAAATATGCAGCAACGGCAACCAATTTAAAGGAATAAAAAGCTATGCAAACTCCAAAGCAGTAGCAATAAGTACAAACTATGCCAGCTCCAAAAAAAAAATATATATATATATATTAACAAAAAATTATAACGAACTTAATTTGCAAAAGAATAAATTGTAGCAATGGTCCCTTAATTTTGACTCAATTGAATAATTGGTCCCTCAACTAAAAATTCATTACTATTGGTCTCTCAACTCCTCAAAACGTGCAGCTATGGTCCCTTAACTAAAAATACATTATCATTGGTCCCTCAACTTTAATCCAACTGGAGAAATGGTCCCTTAACTTTAACCCAATTGGAGTAATGATCCATCAACTTTAACCCAATTGTGGGAATGGTCCTTCCGACATAACTCATTTTGACAAAATTCTGACGAAGTTGACAAAAATGACCATAACAACACATGTTGTTAAGTTGAGGGACCCCAATTGTAGTAATGGTTATTCCAACATAATTCATTTTGACAAACTTTTGACGTAGTTGACGAAAATGATCATAGCTACATATTTGGATGAGTTGAGGGACCAATGGTAATAGATTTTTAGTTGAAGGATCATTGCTCCAATTTAATTAAAATTGATGAACCATTGCTTCAATTTACTCTTTGCAAAATTACCAATTGTATATGTGATGCAAAGCCCAAAAAAAAGGAGATTGCAGCCGAGCGGGTACAAGAAGAGCCAACCCAGCTTAATTTGATGCCAAGTTGAAAGTTAGGGTTTTCTTGAATGCAATATTTTAATTTTCTTACAAAGAGGTATTTCTAGGAAACAAATGAATACAACATTAACTAACTAAAAAATAGGAAATAAAACCATCCTTGTTAAACAAGAAAACCTAAATCCCCAAGGCCAGCTTTAAAAACAAAACAAATTAAATTTTGGTTTAGCGGTGGGCACTGTAGTGGGTTTACTGACCAACCCAACTAAAATTCGTGGGGTTGAGTTGGGTTGTAACCTTAAAAAAAAAATTAATTTTTAGATAGAAACACGATCACCCATCCAATAGATGAGAGAGTTGGGTTGATGTATATTAACTTGATTAAAATTGGCTCACCCGAATATCAACAATTCTTAAACATAAATGTATGTACAATTGTAAATAGACATGTACATAAAATTTAATAGTTACTAAACACACTCGTGAGGGAGCCTGCTGTGTAACGAAGCATTGCTCTATTATTCTTTTATTTTGACTTTTCGGTTGTTATATTGAAAATCTCAATTGACAAAAATAAAAAACACACTTGTTTATATATACTTTAGTTAAATAATGAGATTTAAATATTAAGTAACAATAGTGATTCTACAAATTAACTTTATATTATTTAAGTTGTATTTTGAATTATTTGTCACTAATACTCACTTTAAGAATAACAAAAAAAGTAAATAATCTCAACTCGTTGAACCAGCTCAACTCAACCCGCCTTAATGGTTTTGTTGGGGGGGGGGGGGGGGGGGAGGGATTGGTTAATTTGGCCATTCTTTTGGGTGGAAATGAGTTTCACTAATGTTAGCTCGAGCCTATTAAATTGACTAACGGATTAAAGTCCAATCCAACCAACCCAGCAATGCCGACGCTTAATTTGGTTATTCAGTAAATTAATTAAGTAGTACCAATAAATATGAGCTGTTATAATTTAGACCGATTAGGAAGCAGTTATCAAATTCTGCATGCACTACTTGCATGGAAGATTAGCAAACGAGGGAAATGAATACAGATCGTATGGGAGCTCACCAATTTATCCTATTATATATTCCAAATTATACAACAAATTAATCTCAATCGTGATTCATATTGGTGTCGAGCTAAGCATGGTTTCCATCTCTTTTGGTCCTGTAATTTTACAGCAAAAAATTTAGTTAGTACACCACTTGTACATTCCACAATCTTAGCCTTAGGTTCGCAAATTCTACAAATCTAATATAAATGGATGAATTGTCCATTTTGTCATATTGTCCAATGAACCTACTTATTAGAATGACAACTAGCTGCAGGTTTAGGGGAACCTATGCATAAGCTTCATCAACGCACACCCAAACATCAACCAAACAAAACCAGATATACAAATTAGGTTGATTTGCATAATAATTCTAAAAAAAAAATATAATGCAAAACAAAAACCATATCAAATAAGATTTCCATAAGTATATATATGAGATCAGTACCCTCATTCATACTGCAGCGCCTTATCATGGTTTCGAGATTGACGTAGAGCGATGGATGCAGATGCTTCAACTTTGACATTTCTAACACTTCAAATCTTCAAAGTAATTCCAAGTTGTAACGTATGCAGTGGAGCCGAATTTGTTGCTATCGGCGAAGGCAGTCGCGCGTTCAAAAGGCTTCTAAACACTGGCAATTGGGGTAAAATATGGCAACAATAAACCTACTTAGATGTCAATGTGGCAGCTAGCTAGGTTTATGAGGTTGGACCGCACCTTTTAATTTGTTGTAGTTGGATAAACAAATGGACCGATAATGACAAGCCTCTGATACTTTTTTTTACATATACTCCAGCTGATCGATTTTCATCAATATAATCTTGCACCTTTTGGTTTTACATTACTTATATAATGCGTTAAATAATTAAAGTTAGGACACGAAGTATTAGGTTGATGATGTATAAATTATAATAAAATATATATTATATAATATGTTATAAGAATAAGCATGTTTATCTATAAGATCCTTTTTAATTACAATTTTCTGTATTTAATTGGAGTAAAAGTTTGATATTTTGGCTTTTAATTGAAATCTCGTGTATGTATATATATATTGTATAATATATTGGGGGCAGTACTAGAACTCTCCTTTTTTAGGTTGTAGCAGTAGGTACTGTTTTGGACTTAGGAGAGGGACCTAACCCATAAAGCCAATTGGCTTTTGTGCAGCAACAAACAGAAAGTAGATTATGATGGGAGCCATTAGTTCTTATCCCTACCTTTCTCCTTAAGCTGGAAATGACATTCTCAAAGAATCAATTATGCAAAAGAAAAACATTCTAATAAAAGTGGTAAATTTCAAATCTGCTCTAACAGATTTAATCAAGATTAAAATGTTTATAAAAATTCAATGAAATATGGATGTATTAATTAGGATTTTACGGGAGTT